GAAATTATTCTCAACTAATGTTAACATTCACTGATGAATCAGAATCAGTGTGGGAACGATGCATATAATTGCTAATATTGTCAGAATTTTATGGAAAGAGAGTTAAGACTGTATATTCATCAGGGTAATTAACTCTGCTGCTGAGGAAAACAAACTCAAATCACAGTGGATTTAAAAAGATAAAACTTTATTTTGCCTTTGGTATAGTTTGCCTAGGGTCAGGTGATTTGCTGGGAGTTTTGGGGTGACGCTGGCTTCTAAGCAGTTAGTTAGGAAGATTCATTTCCTATCGTGCAGCATGGTTCCCAGCATACATAATCTCAGAGGCCCTCACTTCTAGTCACAAGGTCAGGTGTAGATTAGGGAAGCCTTAGAGTGGTTTATAGCGAGGCCTACATAGTAGTACATCTTCATTCAATTTTATTGGCCAGATGTCAGTCACATGACCCCAACCCAACTTCAGCGGAAACTGGGAAATTACTTTTCCTGCAGTCCCTGGAAGAAGAAATGGAATTGCTCAGTATCCAGCTGTCTGTGGCAGGATACCAGAGGAAGCAGCATTATCAATTCCGTGGATTACAAGAACCGATATTGGAAAAAATCCACCAATGTCAATTCATACAACTACTATGATACCATTTCTTCCCTGCTCCATCTGGAAATGACATCATGTGTTAAGACTATACTAGTCACCCCCAGATATTAAATTCAGATTACTACTTGAAAAATCCAGTCTGAAAAAGTAAAACTATGGAATCCACTAGAAACTAAACTTTTCTTGTTCTCCAACATGTACCAATATCACATTGAAAAGCCAGGAAACACGATGGGCTTCTTCTCACTAGCTGTAATTTTTTAGTTCTCCAGGATCATCAGCATAGGGAGAGAGCAAAGAGGTCAAATTCGGGAAAAGTCAGTCTTCCATTGAAGGGGTGTGAACTGGAGCTGGTGCTTTTGGGGTATAGTGGAGGTTCGGTGATATTTTTCTTTTTCCTCCTGAGGCACATTTGTCAGTTCCTTGGAGATTTCCCAGTTGGGAATACCTGCTTTCCACACCATTGATATCAGCAACATCTTCCTCTTGGCAGTCCACTCACACCCCCACCCTTTTCTTTATGAAGCTAATAAACACATTTATAATGAGGCTGACTCTTGGACAAAGTCTATGTATTTTAAAACAACCTCCAGGATGGCTCCCTACTGCACAATCTTTGTGGGTTCTTGACATATTTGCATCTTTACCTGTCACTAGTGGAAACTCAGCTGCTTCGCAATGTAGAACACTACTTTTCACTCTGGCACTAGGACCGGGGTCACAGCTCACTCATTTTAGGTTTCTCAGGCATTAGTTTCCACACCCCATTAGCAAGTTGTCTAAATGGTCTTTTTGAAACCTTTCTAGATAAATCAGATGGAAGGAGAAGCACACTTTTTACTTTGGGAGCAAGAGTGGCAAAATATATATATATATATATTGCAACATTCTCAACTACTCTCCTTTAAGAATTTTCTCATTCCTCAACCTCAATTTAGGAGGTAGCTTTTTAGTCACATTATTTTTTAAAAATCTGCATAGGTGATATACTATCCCTTTGGAATTTGAGGGGAGTGGGTATTGGCATATATTGTTTTGTTTAAGCTATGGGCCTGCCCTCAACCAATACTGAAAAAATCACCAATTTAAAATATTGTTAGCTTAATAATAAGTAAAATTTTTCAAGAAATGATTTATTTTTAAAAAATAAATTTGAATAGATTGACTAAATGTCATGTCTCAAACATTTGCATTCTGATTGGGAAATAAAGAGGAAAAATTAGAACTCAGTTGCCTGAAAATTTTTGGCCATCATTTGAGTGTGCTAGAGAGATTGTTTTGATTGCGGGAATCTCATTGGTCATGTGTATCTTGCAAAATGGTTGTTGAGAGCACATGTTGAAAGGACATGAAAATGATACCCTACTTCATGCTTTTCACAACATGGCCATCACGCATATTCATACATGTAATGTGAAAACTTCTTTAGTTAACAAAATGAAGGTGCCTTATCACCATCAAAAAATGAGAGAAGCTGCTATGGGAGAGCGAGATATGTACATTTGTATTTAACCTAAAACTAATTAAAAGAGCTGATGTTACTATAGTAATGTCAGACAAAGTCAACTTGAGAATGTGGAATATTACCAGGGGAAATAGGTCATCACATTATAATAGAGAGGACACGTGACCAGAAACACATAACAATTCTAATCTTGGGATTTAGATTGAGAGATTGGCAGTTTTTGTCTCTAGTGCTGAAAAAGAGGACAGTTGACTGAACCTGGGACAGCCAGCTGTGTCCTTGAGAGGCTTCCACATGGCTCTTCTGCTTTCTACCTCAAGTAACTGCAAAATCTGGCAGATGCCTTGAGGGGGAGATTAGTTGTGTGCCTGAGACCAACCTCTTCTCACTGGTCTTTCTTTATATTCGAATCACCCTGAGACTAAGGAAGTCTCAACTTTTACTTATAGAATCTTTTGCATAACTCCAAGCCTCTGTCCAGCCCCCAACTTTAGGAACTATTTTATGTGGGCCTTTATGATCTGTGATTTATAATAGCAAATAATATATTATATTTGGTCTTCCCCCTGTTTTCTGGCCCAGAGTTCCCTAAACCCTTAAATTTTGTTAAGTGCTGAGAGCAATAGATATCTTTTGTTATGTTAATAAAATAACTTGGGAAGCACCTAAGGATAAGGGCTAGTTGAAGTGAAGCCAACCGTGTTATCTGTGGGTCGGAACTTCCATTCCAAGCCCTGAATGCCCAGAGAGGGGAGTAGATAGGCGCTAGAGACTGAGTTCAATCAACAACGGCCAATTATTCAATTAATTGTTTCTCAAGTGACAAAACGTCTGTAAAAACCCAAAGGTTGGGGTCGAGAGCCTCTGGGTTGGTGGACGTAAGAGTGCTGGGACAGGGGTGTGCTTGGGGAGGACGCGGAAGCTCCAGGCCTTTTCCTCTGGCTGCTTCTGAGTTGTATCCTTTTATAGTCAACCAGTGATCTAGCACATAAAATGTTTTCCTCCGAGTTTGGTGAACTACTCTTGTAAAGTAATTGAAGTCGAGGAGGAGATCATTGGACCCTCCCATCTGTAGCCGGTCATCAGGACCTTAGCTGAAAACCTGGACTTGTGACTAGTGTCTGCAGTGGGCGGAGGCAGTCTTGAGGGACTGAGCTCTTAACCTGTGGAATCTGATGCTATTTCTGGGAGACAGTGTTAGGACTGAGTCGAATTGCCAGTACACCCAGCAGGTGTCAGAGAGCTGTTGGTGATGTAGAAAACCCCCTCCCACACACTGGAAATTGGGAACTGAATCTGCAGCCTCCAAGGTCCCTCAAATTTCCAGTTTGTTTTGTACCAGCCCTGCATGATTGTGAAAGGTCTTCTGATTTCTCTTTCTGCAGCAGAGACGCTGGGCCTGAGCTAATTCCAGACCTCCGCCTGGTGTCAGAACGGGCAAATGTCCCTCGAGGGGAGGAAAACGGTGGGAGGCCGGGAGCTCACTTATTCAGGCACTTTCTTCTCTGAAATTTTAATCTGATTTTTGTTTTCCACAGCATCTTGTGATGATGCCTTTAAAATTGAGATTTGTCAAATTTATCTTTTTTTTCTAGGTTTAGTTATTTATGGCCAGTGGGAATATAGGTATAATTAGATAACTACCTTTGAAAGTGCACTTCTTTGTTCTATTACTCTTTAAAAGTTTAACCACATGTTATTATGTTAAATCTTCCTTAATTTTATGAATCATCTCTTGAATTTAGGAATTTCTTATATTTAGAGATATAATCATTAAACCAAAGTTTGTCTAAGTAGATTATTTTTATTGAGGAGCAGTATGAATTTAAAAGGATTTTTTTGAAATTCTGTCTCTTTATCTGTGAACATAATTTAGTATTTGCAGAGTTGTGAAAATAATGCAGTACCTACGAAAAGGCATAGGTAATGAAAAAGAACATACAAAACTGAAGTGGCATTTTGTTAGAATGTAGAAGTAAAGGAGCAATCTAAAAAGTACGATGATTTCCCATTATATATTTACTGTTTTGTAAGAGATATAGAGATATACTATCCAAAGCATAGTTCTAGAGAAAGGCTTCACAGGCATATATTTAAGTCCAAGAGACAGGAACACATGTCATTGTATGTGGGGACAACTTTCCTCTCAAGTCCCCCTGTCTGCCTTGGATGAGAGTAAATATGACGGAGACATGATGTGATCTGCTTGGGGAAGAGAAGTGGCCAGTTTCTCCGAGGAGAAAAGGGCCTCGAGCCCCCTCCTCTAGGGCTTTTATTGGGTTCTAATACACAGGAGTACAGGGCAGCAAGGATCAAACAGTAGGTAACATTTCAAAGAAATCTGAGGGCTTACTATGAGTCCAAGTCTGTCAGGAACAGAGTTTTAGGGTTTCTTGCTTGAACCCTTAATATATAAATGAAAGCACTCTTAGCAGAGCAGATTTCACAGGTTTATCAAGAAGTCTTTGTGATGCCAGATTTTTCCCCAGGACACGCTCTAGCAAGGCAAGGAGCTGCACCTCTCCCCCAAAAGTATTCAGGCTTAAGGGGATTAGAGCCAGGAAGCACTTCTCCCAGAGAACATGGGGACTCGGGCTTTGTCAAAGCCGGAGGGGTGAGAGTCCATTGCTCTCTGTTGCAGCCCCCAAGTCCTTCCATGAAGGCCTCCCAGGTGATGGAGTCTGGCTTAGGTTGCCCCCCACTGTGAGGGGTCTTACCCGTCATTGACTTCCGACCAAGTTTTGGGGGCAGGGAGAGGAACTGAGGCAGCGTTTGCTACCAGAGACAGGCTTTGTCTCTTGCAGCTCGAATTCCAAAGGTCGTCCCTTGCCCTTAGCCACAAGGGGTAGAGATACAATTCCTAGAGCCAGGCAGAACAGTCTGCAATTGTATACATTTTTGATTCATTTAGTTTCATGTATGTTATTTCTGAATTTCCAGGATCTCAAAGATATGCTCTTTTATGTTTAAAAAATAAGACAGTTCACACTGAAAAGGGTGAAGAATCTTACATCAAGTCACAGGCATAAGCAGGAGATTGAAGGGCCAGCATTCAAACCTCAGGAAGTAAGTACAAACCTAGGCTCTTTGAACAATACCAGAGAATGTGCTTCCCACCTTTTTTCTCATAGTTTTACTGGGAAAAGAAAAGATTGTAACTCAAAATTCTCTGTAGTCTGTTCTGTTCTACTTGGAGCATGAAATAATAGATATAAGGAAGTCAGATATCATGGCGTAGCCACCAAAGCTCACTTGTCTGGGGATCGAAAGAACCATTCTGGAAGTCTCCCTGTGGAGTTGTTACCAGACAGGGGCCTGGCCCTGAGTGGGTCTGCCTGTGGCCAGCTGTAGTGTGTGGGTTCTTGACTTCAGATAGGGAAGAGTTCCCAAGAGCAGTCCAGGTGACTGTGAGGACCTGTTACCGAACAAGAGGTCGGGGGGGGGGGGGGGCCTAGGGATGCCGAAAACTGCTACACAACAGGGGCCCCTCCCAAGGACAAAATACTAATATTTACTGGGCTCTTCTGTCTGCTGCCAATTGGAGAGACATCTGTCAATGCCAGAGATTTGTGAAAAGGAAACGAAATGTTTATTTAATGGTATTTAGGCTTAACGCCACCACTAAAATATCAAAGTCCTTTAGGGTATACACCTACGGCCATACAGCGCTCCCTTCTCCCCCTGTACCAACTCCGGGTACCGTAAATCAGGAAAGGAGCACACGTCTGTGTTGCAGGCCGCTGGCGCTGTCAGCTGTGTCACCATGCAGGCAGGATCTCTCTCTAGTTAATCCAAAGTACTGTGATACCCTCTCATGGCCCACTGGCAAGAGTCCTTTGTACCCAGTTCCAGTCAAAGTCTCTCTTGCTCTCGAGGCCACGCAACCAAAGGGGGCACCCCAAAGCCGCGTGTGCCTCTTCTACCAAAGCTGCAGGGGTTTGCACTCCACCAAAAGCACATGGCTTTCTTCTTCACCTGGCTGCAGGGATCTCCATTCTGGCAAAGCTGCGTGGTTTTCCCTTTCACCTGGGTAGTTCTCCCCTCATGTCCTGGAGCCAGTCTTTTCCAAGCTCTCACATGGTGCTTCTCACTCTAGGGCGCAGCCCTCTAGTTCCATCTTGAGTCCCAGCCACTCCCTTCTCCCTGGCTCCAAACTTGGCCACTGCTATTTAACATATCTATGAAGCCAGTTAAAGGTTATAGATATGTTAAATAATCATTCCAGAGGTTAGCTGCAAAACTGTTGCTATGCAAAACAGCTCTCAATGGCCCTGCTCCATTGTCCCTTCCCCTGGGGGGGCGGCGGTGAGGACATCTTATAGGTCTCTCCAATATTCCTGTACACTTTGAATTCTGGACACCATTCCAAATCCTTTTTGCACCCCCCCCCCCCCGGCTGCACCCTGTATCAGACCCACTGATGAAAGCTGGGGACCATGAAATGAGGACTTAGCATAGAAGGAGCAACAGCAGAGCCAAGGCTGGGCTGGCTTATTCGATGAGGGAAGTCAGAGAAAAGGAGCGCTTTGGGGACAGGTTCAGGGCATCAGCCTGGGACGAGCTGCTGCTGCCCATTGTGTTAGTGTTTAGGAGACGCGAAGGGAAGTCAGGGAAGAAGAAGGGAAAGGAAATGCCATTCCCCAGAGGGAGAGTGCAGGCTGAGTCCTTTGTCTTGAGTTTTTATCTCTTTCTAGCAGGCGGGAACCTTAGGGGAGGACTTGGGGGAGGGTTTCAGAAGCATGCGCATCAGTTCTCCGGGTGCACCCTTTTCAGGGTCATGGTGTCTACTGATGGGTCAGAAATAGGACAGGGAGCCCTTTAGTCTTTGCAGCTGGTACTGGTTTTGCTGCTTTTCTGGCCCTGGGGAGATAGGTCGGATAACACAACTGAGGCCTAGATGTTCCCTCCAGGGAGGAAAGGCCAGGGGAGGAGAGGTTACTCTGGGGGTGAGGTCCTTGTTTTCCCAGTTTCACCCCCTGCCAGCGTCTCAGGGCACTCTGCCCTGATAACCATGTGCCCTGGCTGTAAACTGCTTGACCAGTTTGCTCAGCTCCCTGTCTCAGTTTCCCTATTCCACTTGCCAAAGAATTTTCCTAGCTTCTCACTATTCTGTCTCAGCGTTGTCTTTTTTTTTTTCAACTGCTAACCACATATTGATCATTATCTAGGCAAGTTAGACAGCCAAGGGTGTCAGCTTCCAGAAGGGGAGTGGGAGTGGGGGAAAAGATTCTTATTCTTACAGGGGATAAGAAGCATAAATGGTAGCTACAAAACAGACAGGGGGAGGTTAAGAATAGTATAGAAAATGTAGAAGCAAGGAACTTATATATATGAACCATGGACATGAACTAAGGGGGGTGGGGGGAATGCTGGTGGGAGGGGAGGTGCAGGGCAGAGCGGAATAAAGGGGGAAAATGGGACAGTAGCATAATCAAAAAATGTATATAAAAAAACAAAAACAAAAAAGAGAGGGTGTTCAGAGACAGTGTTATGGAAATAGAGGATTTCGCTGATGACAGAGAGAAAATAAGTTCCTGAAGGCATAACGGAAGGATGTGAAATGCTGAGGCCCAGGTAAAAGTAGGATCACAGTAGGGGTTTCCCAGCAACAAGCATCTGAGAGTCCAGTAGCCAGAGAATGAGCTGGTTGTTCTGAGCCTAAGAAAGTGACCAGGTAAGAACAGGAATAAAGGCACAAAGGTATTAGTTCCACAGGGCTGCAGGGCGGATGGCGCATGTGGAACAGTGAATGTCCGTAAGTGGAAGAGTGGATAGTGGTGGGTGAGAACAGGAAGAAGAACAGAGAGGGTCAGTCACCCATAGGGAAGCTATCAGCATCTGGTGGCACACAGGCCTCAGACCGATGAGAAGGCAGCCCCAGTGAGAGGGCAAGGAGCGCCTGCTCACCATCAGGGAGGCTGGATGAGCAGGGCCTCAGTTCTTCAACCAAGATCTCTTTTGATTAACACAAGTCCCTAAATTTGGCAAAAGGTTGCAAGTCTTCAGTCTCACAGTTCCAGCTATTAGAGCTAAAAGCCTGGCACACAATTAGTACTTTCCGGCTATTACTTTCTAGTAAGACCCTATTTTTCTTGACTAGATGTCTGCCAAACTATATTCATCTCATTTTCGATCCAGATAATTTAAAGTGTTGCCAAATAATTTCAAGAGCTCTAAACCAGGGAATCAATCATTGGAATGTTAGTTTAACTCCACTCACTAATAGTATGTTTTAAGGTTTTCAGATCCATATCTTTGCATTATTTGTAGTAAGTCTATTTTATCACACTAACTTCAGTGCAGGGTACGTTAGGTAGGACAGAAAGCACACCAAGGCAGGCAGGAGGAAGGAGACATGTCTTACCCACTGACTCTGCAGTCCTGAACCTGATCAGATAATATTGCCAGGTGTTCCAACATCATAGGAAATACTATGCTAGCATAAGAGGAGGGCAGTCCTTGAAATTCTGTGAATCCTTTCTACTTTCTGGGAAAAAAGCCTTTGAACCTGTGCTTTCATCCCAAGGCCTGAAAGGCCAGAAAATGGCCCACAATGTCCAAAGGAAGAAGCTCATTAACACCTTTGGGTATTCATGCATCACCTCCCAACGCTGGCACCGCCTTTACCTGTCAATCGATATGTAACTTCCTTAGCCCCATCCTGCCAACTACATAAGCCCCCAGAACAAAGGACTCTCTCTCTGGCCACCCGGCCTCTGGCCACACCAGGCTCACTCACCCCTGCCCTTGCCACGCTCTCTCTTCCTTTTCTCCCCCACCTCAGTGAGACCCCTTCTCTTCCATGAGAAGATAACAGCAATAAGCCTGCTTGCACACTAATAGACTTGCTAATTTGTAATATTTTACTGTTGGCAAGAAGAACCAAGTTTTTACTGTAACAGATATAAGAATAAATATGATCAAAGTACCAATCACAAAGGTAAATGGATGTGGTAAATTTATGTCTTAACTTGACTGGCCGTGGGGTACCCATATTAAACATGAGCAGTCAGAGACACCTTGTTTGCTGTCTTTCAGTGATCACTGTCCTTCATTGCCTGATGGCTATGTGCAGTGCCTTGAAAATCATTGTTTAAAAATATTTTGTCCAATGTATTGGTTGTTTCAGGAAGGAGGGTGAGTCTAGTCCCTTCACTCCATCCCCGTTAGAGGCAGAACTGCCCAACCTCCTTACATCTTGCAGCAACTCCATTCTCAGCACATGGCTTATAAGATCTCTCTTCCATCAAGCCATGGAAAAAGAGCATGAAGGATCACATGTAAGTAATTCTTATGAGTCAAGTCTCAAAGTGGTTATTTAATGTCTGTGACATTGCCCTGACTAGACGTCTGTCACATTGCTGCATCTGACCGAAACACCAGTGGGAAATGATAGTCAAACTGTAATCCCAGAAAAAAATTGGAAATAGTTTTTGGTGAATGGCTGACTGATTTCTGCCACGGGGTACCTTCATGGGCACCAAATGCCTATTTTACACTTCCTTCTACATAACAGGAGAGATTTATTCCATGTCAAAACCACCATGCAGGCATTTGTGATTTTTAGGTGATGCTCTTTCCTCTCCATCAAGTCTGATGTCACCTATAATGATTTTGCAGCCTATAAATAACAAAAAAAAGAAAAAGAAAAGAAATTAATTGCTCTCCCATGCCCACCCCGTGAAAAGCATTGGAGCAAGAATGAGATCACCACAATTACAACTTCCATTTAGCCCTGGCCAGTGTGGCTCAGGTGGTTGGAGCATCATCCAGTAGCCAAAGGGCTGTGGGTTCGATTCCCAGGCCGAGTAGGTTGCGGGCTTGCTCCCCTATCTGGGTGTGTACCGGAGGCGATTGACTGATGTTCTCTTCTTCTCTCCCTTCCTCTCTCTCTAAAGGCAATAAAGAAATGTCCTCGGGAGAAGAAAAACAAAACAAGCAAACAAACAAACCCTTTCCTTTTAGACAAAGAAAAGAGTGGGATTCTATTGCAGACTGTTATCTACGGCAATGATGAACATGCCGTCAGGCAGGCATTGTGAGAGCCCTGGCCCCTAACAAATGCAGGAAGATTCCTTGAATACATTTTATTTTTCTTTCTTAGAAGAACTTTTCATCTTTTGTTTTTTGCAGGACCTGACTCCTCCTGCTGGGAGGTACTTTCCTAGTTCATTATCCTTCATTACCTTTCATGGTGACAGCTGAAGTTAGTGTGGGGAAGCATTCTTTTCTCAGGGGTTCCTGAAACTTCCTACTTCTTTTCTGTTCATGGAATTTGGGGGCTTGTTTGTGTTTGCGGTGTGATTTTTCAAGGCATTTTTAGTATTAGTCCATAGCTTCATTAGCAGTTCATTTCCCCCCAAAATTAGTAGAACTGTTTGTTTCCAGGCAGTTTCACATGACTGTCACACACGCTAACATTCTTTCTTGGACATGAGTATGAAACCTGGTTCATTTTTATTTCTGCTTTCTCATCCACATCTCTCTCATTCTCATTGGTGGCTACCTAGATGTGGGGGCGACTTTCCTCACAAGTCCCCCCCCCCCCATGTTCCACAGATGAGAGTAATTATGACTGAGACATAATGTGATCTGCTTGGGGAGGAAAAGTGGCCAATCCCTCAAAGGGGAAGGGCCAAGAGCCCCTTCCTCAAAGGGTTTTTATTGGGTTCCTTTGCACAAGAATACAGGTAAGGATCAAACAATAGATAGCATTCAAAGAAGTATGAGGGTTTATTCTCAGTCAGGGTCCGATAGCTAAAGACCCATAAAACTTTGAGGAACAAAATTCTTGCTTGGACCCTTATCATTTAAATGAGAGCATTCTAAACAAAGCAGGTTTTACAGGATTTTTACATATTCTTTCTTGTGCTTGATTTACTGCCCCCCCCATACCTGCCCTTTTCAGCACAGGGTTGCACCACCTTCTCCATCAAAGGTTTTTAGGCTTAAGTGGATTAGAGCCAGGAAGTGCTTCTCCCAGATGGAAATGGGGACTCGAGCTATGTCAGAATAGTCGGGGGGTGGACAAGGGTCCATTGCTCTCTCTTTGTCACAACTCCCCCCAAGTTCTTCCATGAAGGCCTCCCAAGTGACGGTGTCTGGCCTAGGTTGCCCCTCTCTAAGGGGTCGTACCCACCATGGACACTGACCATGCTTTGGGGGCAGGCAGATGAAGCAGGGGCAGCATCTGCTGCCAGAGACAAGCTTTGTCTCCTGTGGCCCACATTCCGGAGGACACTCAGCCATGGGGGGCAGTTACAATTTCTGAAACCAGGCAGAGCGGTTCCCAACACCTAGAAACCACCTGAAGCCATCTGCGGGCATGCCATACATTGTTAGGCTAATGTTGTCTAAAGTTTTTTTTCAATCTTACCTTTTTCTTTTTGAGGTTTAGAATAAATCATTTTTTTCAATCCTTTGAGGCCTTAAGTCTTGGAATCTACATATTACCTTTTATCTATGATGGAAAACTATTACCTAACCTGATATCTTTCTTACAGTAAATTGTTAAAATAGTAGCAATGCATACTAAGATTATGGGTCTTTCAACCACTTCCCCTGTGCTACTGTTAGAGGAAAATGAAGCAACCAGACACTGAGGGATTCTGGAGTACGAGGTTTATTAATGTGCATGGGACCAGAGGAGTCAATCTCCAAATTCTGAGCCCCGAACAAAGGATTCTTGGGGTTTATATAGTCCACGGGGTCTTCCTGTCTACGTAGCAAAGCGAGATACAGAAGTAGAATGTGGAAGTTAGTTCTAGCTACGCGGCAGAAGCAGAGTACAAAGGCTAAATGTGAAAATTAGTTCTATCAGCGGGGGTGCTAGTCCCAGTCCTTGTGACTGTCCTGCTGTTTGCTTTTCCCAGACGGCCTTATCGCTCTCCCAGGGCGCCTGGGGTTTTGGGTGAGCAAAGGTCTTCCAAAGCTTCCCACATCACTACAGGCCCATAACTACCTTTCAAATTACTGAAACATTTGTTTTATCAAATATTTTCCTTTTGTGAAATATAGATCACCAGCTTTCCAGAGTGTTCTATCTTCAACTAAACCAACTACAACTAAACAACTAAATCAACATCATAAAGTTTAGACTGTTCTTGTAGCATCCCCCACCCTCCTTCTGGAATCAGCATTTTACAGCGAGTGAGTCGATAAAGTAATGCCATGGCTCAAACGCTATAATTTATTTTCCTTTTATGGGAAGTCTAAAATGTGTGCTTCTCATGCACAGGTGGCTCTCTTTCAAGTGGTACCCACCGAGGCTTGCCATCTCCTACCTACAGCCCCTAGGATTGCGATGCTCTCCTCCATCAGCGAGTGGAAGGAGAACGCGTGGGGGGTCAAGCATGGGCTGTGCATGGAAGTAGATGCATCGCTTTGGGGGTTTTTTGGCCAGAACCCTTCACAGGGCCAAAAATGACTGAAGGGAAGGCTGGGAAATACACATAATCCTGTTGTGTGGACAGGATGAGCCCAAAACTTTGGTGCATAGCTGAAGATTTTCTGAACGGAAGCCAGTATTGTGGAAGCTAGAGTAGAAATACTGATAAACCTGAATCCTTCTAAATTCTTTTAAGTTACTCTGTCAGGTTTCACCCTATAACTGGACTTTTCAACCATGTAAGCTAACATTCTTTTTATTGTCAAAGGCTATTTTAGTTGAAATTTCTGCCACTTTCTATGCCAAGCATTGTAATTAATATAGTTTCCAAGTGAATTTTCCTGTAACAGCCACTAACAACCACCCTCCCTGCCCCCACCCGCACTGCTGCCTTCCTGTTATTCTAACTATTGTGAAGCACAGTCTAACTGTTTCATGCTTGAGTTCCCAATTCCCAGTAAAGCATCTGATGTATCAGGCCTGCATGTTGGGAATTCAGCTCAGTCCGAGTGATGAGGCTTCAAAATACGTAAGATCGGAGTTTGGGAACAGGCTAATTCCAGGTCTGAAGGAGCTTTTGGAATTCCTGTTTATTTGAGAGTTAATCTTGTGTAGGAGGGTGATCTGTGATGATTCACCAAAGCTTCAGAATATATGACCACACCTTTGAACTTCCCTAGACCAGAAGAAAATTCACATATTAGTCACTGGTTTAAAGAAAACGTTTTCCTCCTTCCTGCCCCTGCCCCTGCCCCTCCTTGCGCCCCGCCCCACCCTCGCCCTTAAGAGATCATCTGAGCCTAAATTACACTTCTTGGTGGTACCTAATCTGAATTTGTCTTAATTCTGAATTGCTTGAATGCAATTCAAGAGAGCCTACTTTCTAAGCCAAATAGAGCTGAGCCAGGTTCTTATCTTCTGGTGTCTGCCTCCTTTTGTTTCCTTTATAAGAACAGAAACTCATTTTTTCCCATTTTTTTGTGATTTGGGGAATCATTCATGGAGTGTCTCCTGGGTATCAGGCACTCTGCAGTGTGCTGGAAAAAAGCCAAATTGAGTGAGTTCCATAAATTAGGCAGGGGAAGAGCTCATAGACATTCAGGCAATTTCTAGATTGTTAATGTGATATTATGTGGAAAAAATACAGTCATTAAAGTTTGAAGCTATAGACATACCTCATTTTATTCTGCTTCACAGATGTGTGTTTTCCAAATTGAAGGCAAGACCTTCCACCAGCAAAAGAGATTATGCTTTGTTGCATTACTTACAGGTTGTGTTAATTATGAAATTGAGCTCTCCTTCTCTGAGCTTTAAATAGTTCATTGTAAAATTGTGGATAATACCATTATTTTGAAGTTAGACTAATTGCTAAATGACGCAACATTAGTAAAAGTGCCTGGCACAGAGTAGGATTACAAGTATTTCTTTTATCCTCTTTTCTTCTCTCTCATCTCCCTTTGAATAATCCAGTCAAGAATATAAACACAAATATTATTTCGGAGATCAGTACTTTTCTTCCTCCCTAGGCTGGCAGTTGCGTGGACAGTTATTTATTTATTTATTTATTTATCTTTAGAGGGGAAGGGAAGGAGAGAGTGAGAGAAACATCAATGTATGGTTGCCTTTCATGCGTCCCCTGCTGGGAACTGGCCTGCAGGGAACTGGCCTGCAACCCAGGAATGTGCCCTGACTGGGAATTGAACTGTGATTGTCTGGTTCGCGGGCCCGCGCTCAATCCACTGAGCTACACCAGCCAGGGCTGCGTGGACAGTTTTTAAAAAATATATTTGATTGATTATGCTATTACAGTTACCCCATTTCCCCCCCTCCATTCCCCTCCACCTTTCACACCCCCTCCCACCCACATTCCCTCGCTTTAGTTCATGTCCATGT